TTTGTCTTCAGTGTGGAAGAGATTGTAACTCTCGAATTGGCCTCCTCAGCCACACTAGACGCTGTTCCAAGTCCTCCATACAGAGCACACTACCATAGTCTTTCGAGACTGAAGGATGCCTACTATTTATTTATTTATTTATTGTTTTCACAATTACTAAGAGACAGTTGTAAATATAAGGACTGGAGAAGATGAGAAAGAAGAACACTGTTGCCTGTCGTTTCCATGTTAATACCTTTGCCAGGGAACAGGGAAGTAGCACTAATGATAGAAATATTCAAAACATCTGAAAGCTTCTTTGCCTGGAAGATCTATAAATCTCTGTAGGACCCCTGGAGGAGTCAGTTCTCCTTATCAGGTTCTGACATCCAAAAAACTTTGGTGGGTTCTTGAATATCACCCATGACTATTTGCTGCCTGTTTACCACCACCCCCATTCCCCCCAACCACTATGCTTTTCTCCCTCCCTGTCATTCCTTCTGCTTGTCACTTGTTAAATCATCTTTTTTTCCCCTCTGCTGTTGAGAAGTGCTTGGCTTCGAAAGTGTCATTCTTGAGAGCAGAATAAATGATGCCACAAAAGAAGAATGCAAAATACATTTAATCTGCAAAATTGTTCCTAGCCTTAATTCTTCACTGTCATTCATGCAGACATTTTTTGGCGGGAGGAGCAGACATATGCTATACATCTGTTAATGCATGTAAATTTATGCATTTTTAAACTAGTGTTTATCTGGAAATAAGAATTTATCTCTCACCCACTCTCTTTCTCTATCACACACACACATACACAGGCACACACTCACATTAATACACGCAGTGCAGTATAAGTAAGTCCAGATAACCTTAAATGGCTAAGATATGGCCCTGTCAGGTCCTGATCCTTTTTATCTACTTCTCTAAATCCAGATATCTGCAACTCTATTCCCCTCCCCACCCCCAAATACATCACAATGTCTTCCCTATAAAATCAAGAGGACTTCCCTGATTCATTGTTTCTCAGGACTTACCGAGAGGTGGGTGGCAGAGATGTAGACATAAAATCATCAGTCGGGATGGTGTTTCCACATGGGCTGCGGGCGGGGATGGGCCCAGGTCGCACTACGTTCACCTTCACCTCCTCCCATTTCGCTGGCAGCTGAGGGCACAGAAGAGAGTTTACTGCACGGCTCATGGAACCGTTCATCTGGATGGGAAGCAGGCTTAGGTGACAACAGGAGTCTAGCTGGAGGAGAAGCTATCAAGGTAGCATCAGAAGAAGGTAAGGCTAAGGTGGGGCTGCCTCAGAGACAGCCGTGAAAGTCAAGGTCTTCAGGGTCAAGGTTTAAGATGGCACTGCCTCAGCGGCAGCTTTTAACGCTGAGGTTCCTAAGACTGAGGGTAAGATGGTGCCACCCCAGAGATAGCTTTTAACATCACTGTATGAACAAACCACTGTACAGAATCACACTGTCTGTCCCTAATACACTGGGGTCTGAAGAAAGCCCATACATCACACACAGGAACAAAAAAAGGGCCGTGCATAGATACTACAAGGGAAGAGAGATTTCATCAGGCTTTGTGAATTTAAAAAAATTGCCTTTTCTTAGATTCCCTGAGCAAATTTATAATCCAGACTTTACTAATTTCACCCTGGCTAAATGGACCAGCTCAGATTTCCACCAGAGGCTGAGAGTGACCTGCGACTTACTCTCTCTTTATCGGAAAATTACTTCGGCATCCAGAACCCCTCCTGGTCCTCTAGAGATTTAGCCAAGAAGAATAGAGACAGGCATGCTCCTTCCTTATTGGAAGTACCGTAGCAGGAATCAATGTAGGGAAGCAGACATGACATTACAACTAATGATGGTGAGCTCTTCAATATTAATTTACTGCCCTGGTTTAACGTATCACATGCAACTGTGAAAACAAAACGAGAAACTGGTGTGTTATGGCAATTTAAAGACTAAAAAAATTATGTCCATGTGAGTTTTTGATAAAGGAGGGTTTAACAAATGCTGCCAACAGGATTCACTGGCTTCGCTCTTGGGCCTTTTAATAATCTCCTGAACCTTTTAGGCAAATATTCAGCAGACAATTTTTTTCTGGCATGAAGATAATAGTGATGGGAGAAGCTTGCCTTGTTTCATTTTCATATAGTTCCTATTAAAGCCACAAAAAGCAGGATTAATGAAAACAACACAAAATGCTAGCAATGTCTGTTTTTACAGTCCAGAAAGAACAAGAAAAATTACACAAATGCAAGAGTGGGGCCACTAAAAAATCAAACAAATTGGCATTTGGAACAATAGGCTGCTTCTACCTGGTAAATAAACCAAATTATAACTCCTCTCTTGTGCTTGTTGTTTAGTTGTGTCTGACTTTTAATGACCCCATGGACCAGAGCACGCCAGGCCCTCCTGTCTTCCACTGTCCCCCAGAGTTGGGTCAAATTCATGTTGGTCGCTTTGATGACACTGTCCAACCATCTCGTCCTCTGTTGTTCCCCTTCTCCTCCTGCCTTCACACTTTCCTAACATCAGGGTCTTTTCCAGGGAGTCTTCTCTTGAGATGGCCAAAGTATTGGAGCCTCAGCTTCAGGATCTATCCTTCCAGTGTGCACTCAGGCTTGATTTCCTTTAGAATGGATAAATTTGTTCTCCTTGCAGTCCAGGGGACTCTCAAGAGTCTCCTCCAGCACTACAATTCAAAAGCATCAATTCTTCGGCGGTCAGCTTTCTTTATGGTCCAGCGCTCACTTCCGTACATCACTACAGTCATGCCCCGCTTAACGATTACCCCGTATAACAACAAATCCGCTTCACAACTATGTTTTTGGTCCTAAGAGATGGAAGTAAAATTCCAAACCCTGCTACAAGGATGTTTGAGACTACAGCTTCAAGAGGACTGACATCACCCCTCACAGACATGTACTATCTATTTTTGGACTCTTGTCTACAATTTTTCTGCACTATCCATGATGGGTTTTTGCTCAGCCTGATGAAGTGGAATTTTCTCTATGAAAAGCTTGCAATTTGTTTGATTTTTAAGTGGTCTAATAAAAGGTATCACCCACTCTTACATCAGTTTTTTATTTATAACACACCTCTTAAAGAGAATAGGAACAGAGGGACTAGATAAAGCACAGTCCAGAAGATAGATACCTGGAAGATTTGTGGACTAAGGGCAAGATCAAAACAAAATTCTGAACCACTTCCAAGTTCACATTGCTAGAAGTCAACATTCTAGATTTCGTGGTGTCTTAAAAAAGCAACAAGTTTTATTTGGCATACGTTTTTATGGTCAGGAAGTACATGGTACATGAAAGCTTATACCAAAACAAAGCTTGTTGAACTTTAATGTACCACAAGACATTTATTTTTGCTTGTGGCAAACCGATACAACCACTTTGCTCAAATTTTCTTTTCTCTTCAAGTTTGAGTTGATTTTTCCATTTGTTTTCTTTTGTGATTTTATTGTTGTTTGCTTATGGTTTATTTTATCTTGCTATATTGTAAGCCACCCAGAATAGTGCTCTGCACTAATGGGGCAGTATATAAATAAATAAAATTAATTTTAAAATATCATAATTTCTTGTCCTCACATTTCAGCAGTCATTTATATTCTCATGAGACCTACGTCCTTATCCTCCCCATGACATAAAAACCTGAAACCTTCACTTAAAAGTAGGACATCTAGGTTAATCATATTCCAGATTGAAATTTGAAGGTCAGCCGTGTGGTCCAGTATTTATTTCAGGTGCAAGTACAGAGGCAGGAATGGGCCAGAAGTCATATGGTAGAATAAGCCAAAGCAAGGGTACCTGAGGTTCATAGCGTAGCAGTATGTCATAGTCCATGGTGAAGGGCACATCACTGATCTGGAACTCTACCACGCTGCCCTCCACCACCTGGGCAAAGCCTGAGCCTGTCCACGTGGCTGGGCGGCCAGTGAGATGCACTCGCTCCAGAACTTCAGCTCCCTGCCGAGAGAAAGACCAGTAAGAGTAGAGATGGAAAACACGAGATGTCTCTGGGGATGCTGGGAGTTGTAATCCAAACACCAACCAGTCCCAACTCTTGAGTAAAATGCCTCCATCTCCAGCAAAACAAAGAAATCACTAGTTGTTGTAGGTTTTTCGGGTTGTTTGGCCGTGTTCTGGCCAGCATATGGCCAAACAGCCTGTAAAACCTACAGCAACCATCGGGTCCTAGCCATGAAAGCCTTTGAGAATACAAAGAAAACACCGCTTTTGCCACAAAGTCAACTTTGCTGGCAGAATTAAAGAGGGAACAGAACTCCAGCAAAACAAAGAAATCACTAGTTGTTGTAGGTTTTTCGGGTTGTTTGGCCGTGTTCTGGCCAGCATATGGCCAAACAGCCTGTAAAACCTACAGCAACCATCGGGTCCTAGCCATGAAAGCCTTTGAGAATACAAAGAAAACACCGCTTTTGCCACAAAGTCAACTTTGCTGGCAGAATTAAAGAGGGAACAGAAAGAGAGAGACCATGAAAGCCTTTGAGAATACAAAGAAAACACTGTTTTTGCCACAAAGTCAACTGTGCTGGCAGAATTAAAGAGGGAACAGATACAGAGAGAGAGAGAAGACAAGACATTGGGACACTTTAAAGACTTAACACATTTATCTCAGTGTGAACTTCCATGGATCAAACTGCCCATGGATCAAACTTTCAACTACTACCCAGGGCCTCCCCAGTCTGGAAGGGTGAACATTTGATTCAACTCTTCTGTTTTAATAAGAACCTACCAACGTTTGCGAAGTTGTTTAAGAATGGAATAAAACAAGGTTGAGCTTTTAAGAAAAGTGTGGGAAGAAACAGAACTTACAGATCAGCCCATGAGGAAAGAAGGCATTGAGTACAATGCTCTGTTCATCAAACCTATGCATAGTCATCCATGTTTGTAGTAATGAATTAGGGTTGCCACCTTTCTTCTACATTTTTTAAAACTATTTTGGACAGGCTTCTTATTGCTAACAAGACAGCAGAGGTTTTTTCCGGGCATTTTGATTTTCATTAGTCTACCAATTCACCAGACGACAATTTCATTTACCAAGCTACAAGTTGGCCCTTGCCTTTTTTTTTTAAGATACCACAATGCAAATTACCAAAGTGGAAATCCAGTGGTATTTTGTGGGGAATATTACTAGCAGAGTGCATGACAGGCCAAGCCGGAGTCCCGGAGGCAGTTCGTGTCATTCTGTCAACTCTTGCGACATCGCTGGAACCAGTTGTATTGACTCTTGCCTTTCCACTATTTCAGTGACGTGGAGAGGGGGAATTTGCTGGTTGGGTAACAGCCTATCATCCATATTATTTTACCCAGGCTTCATGCCCTGGAGAGGACACTCCAGCTTCGGGTACAGCGTCAAAACACTAGACGCTGTTCCAAGTCCTCGATACAGAGCACATTACCATAGTCTATTGAGACTGAAGGATGCCTATGAATCCCCACATTTTTGTTATGGGAAGAGCCTAGGGAGCTATGGGAGAGCCTTAACAATTGAAAAACTGTGGGAATGACAAAGTGAAAATGTAATATCTCTCTCTCTCTCTCTCTCTTTGGTCTCACCATATTTCCAATTCCGCCTCTTCCCCACAGCTCCCCCAGGATCCCTTTCCTCATCAGGAAGCTGCTGAGGTCCATGGGATTGGTGGAAAGGCTTTCATCACCTATAATTGCTGCTGCCAGGATAACTTTACTGGCAGTAACAATTTTCAGTAATTAACACACAATTAGCACATAAACACCCAGCTCCTCAATGTTGAAAGGGATTCCACAGGAGCTTAGGGGAGAGGGAATCAGAAACGTTTTATTTCTGAAAAATCCCCAAAACTGATGACATCAGTATCAGCCTTATGTGGCGTAACTTACAGATCACGATTTCAACCCATGTCATCTCCTGTTGGCCTTTCATTTATTCATTCCTCTACTTTGCCATGTACAGGTGGCAGCCAAGCTAAGGCTAGTCTGATGAGCCCTTTCGAGCACTCCTTCCCCTTTTTCTTGGTCCTACTGGATGATGGATGATACGGATTGACTCATGGTGGAAATGAATGCCCTTTGCGTCTCTTTGCTTTACTTCATGGCCAAGTAAGCTCTTAAGTCCTCACTAACCATTTGCCCCCCCCACCAAGCACGGACGTCCAGCCACCCACTGTCCACCTCTTAAGTCCTCACTAACCATTTGCCCCCACCACCACCAAACACTGACGTCCAGCCACCCACTGTCCATGTCACCTGGTGAAGTTGAGCCTCCTCAGCCTCGTACGTGTAATGATCCAGTGCAACACGATAATAGCCCGTTTGCACTTGGCTGCACTGCCTGCCCACCATGTGGCTGCGGCACTGGCACTGTCCCGTTTCTGTGGCACACCTGCAGCGTGAAAGAAACAGGCTCGAGAAAGGGTAAGGACTCCCAGCACAGGAAGGTTGCCTGGCCTGTCTTTTACCTACTCTCAACGTGAAGGGCTCTGGTCCAAAGGCAGAGGATCCTGCACCCCCTGCTGAACGTGTGCGCCTTTAGATCTGGGCCAGGCCTGGATGGGAGACCACCTGGGAACTCCAAGCGTGCTACCTCGACTCTTCCATGGAAGAGAAGTTGGGTTTGAGTTTCACAAATCCATAATCAGCCAAGACGATCACCAATCTCTCCACCTGTCTCTCCCTCCCTGTTTCATCATCACCTGATCTCTGTTCCCCATGCCATCTCTTCCTTTGCAGCAGGAGGGATCCTGATCTCTTTCCCCTCCTGCCCCTGATGTGGGTTCTTTTCATGGAAACATTCTGGATTATTCCACGTTCCCTGTCCTGCTTCCTCCTTGCGCGTTCAGCCTCCCCAGCCAGGTGCACGGAACTCCCCACACCCTCCTTACTGGTTGTCGTGGGCACCTCCTACATCGCAGTCACAAGGCCGGCAGCCGTGCAGGTCGGGACTCAGAGCCCAATGTTCAGGCTAGGAAGAAGCAAAGTGGACCTTAGCTCCCAGGAAAGCAAAGCAAAAGCAAAAGCCAGCGGCGAAACCAGGGCTGCCCAGTACTCACCAGGCACTGGTTACAGCTGCGCCCAGTCACCAACCGTTTGCAGAAGCAGTCACCTGTGAAGGCATCACACTGGGGCCCATCCTGCACCGTGCCTCGTGGGTCACACTGGCAGCCTGGCAGATCAAACAAACAGGGCAAAATAACCTGCAGAGCTCTGTGGAACTGGCCCCGATCCAAACCAGGGTGAGTTTTCCTGACATGGCTTCCTGTCAGCCCCGTGCCTGGCATCTGGCACTCCACCAAGGAACTCTGGCCTCACCTCTTCCCCCCCAGTCAGCCTCTGACACCTGAACAAGTCCTTTTTCTCCCACACCTGCACCCTTCTGACCGGTGCATTCAGTCTCTTCAGCACACTGAATGGGACAGCTCACCCACCCTTTTAATCACATATTAAAATGTCTGCCAAATGCCACTGCACCATATAATATGGGCCCTGACGGACAACAAGATAATGGAAGTTATTTCATTAGCCTCGTGACTAGTCAGGGATTTGAATCCAGGTCTCCTTAGGCCAAAATCCTACACACACCGGCAACTGGAGACCTCCTGCTGCATTACAAGAGGACCCTCCCGAAACCCACCCACAAACACATTTTTTGCTGGAGGGAAAGGATGACGGTATTGCTTCGAAGCAGCCACTGGGTGGGGAAGAAAAGGCACCTACGCTGGCAGCCTTGCGGGTTGTCTGCACTCAGTCCAAAGAAGCCTGGCTTGCACTTGTCACAGCGGGCGCCCTGCACATGCTCCTTGCAGCGACACTGCCCAGCAATCAGCCCCAGCATTGGGTCATCGTGTGTGTCACACACCCCGCCATCTAACGTGCCATCAGGGTCACAGTCACAGGCTGTATGGTAAGCAGAAAATGGCTGATGGTCAAGTCAAAGAGCACAGGACCTGGCTCCGCAGGTTCAGGATACAAAAGATGCCATTGGAAACATTTAGGCAGACCTACCCTGCATCCAGTTAACCTAAGAAATTTAAAGAAAAACAACACCTACCCCTCTTTTGGGTAGGAGAATACCACCACTAATAGAAGCAATCTGTTTCTTACTTGGGTAGTAATGGGGAAATCCCGTTCAACACTCTGGCTCTTAGTCTATGGTGTCCCCCAGGGCTCAGTCCCGTCCCCCCCATGTTCTTCAACATCTACATGAAACTGCGGGACATGGTTATCCAGAGTTTTGGGGTTCAGTGCCATTGGTATGCGGATGACACCCAACTCTATCCCTCCTTCCCACCTCATTCCAAGGAAGCTGTTCTGTGCGTAGGCCAATGGGTCTTGTCAGTAATGGATGGGAGAGGGCTAACAAACTGAAATTTAATCCAGACAAGACAAAGGTGCTCCTGTTCAATCATAAAGCTAATCAGAGGACAGAGATCCTGCCTGTACTGGATGCGATTACATTCCCCTTGAAACCCAGGTGTTGTGCAGCCTAGGGGATTGCTCTTGGATTTGTCTCTGAGTCTAGATGCCCAGGTTTCAGTGTGGCCAGGAGTGCATTTGCACAGTTGTAACTAGGGTGCCACCTGTGGCCATCCCTGGAGAGGTTTGGTTTTGTCACGGTGACCCATGCTTTAGTTACAGCCTATGGAAAGTGTCAGAAAACTTCATTGGGTCCGAAACGCTGCAGCTGGTTACAGGGACCACAAACCCCCCCCCCCCCGCACTTTTACAGCAGCTGCACTAGCTGTCAATCCATTTCTGGCCACCATTGAAAGTGCTGGTTTTAATCTATTAACCTAAATGGCCTGAGTCCAAGCTATCTCAAGGACTGCATCTCCATTTATGAGCCTGCCCAGGTGTTCAGATCATCAGGGGAGCCCTTTCTCTCGGTCCCACCACCTCACGAGTGTGTTTGGTGGGGACACAGGAGAGGGCCTTCTCTTTTGCTGCTCCCAGACTTTGGAACTCCCTCCCACAGGAGGCCAGGTTGGCCCCGTCTTTGTTGTCCTTCTGCAAGAAGGCAAAGACCTTTCCTGTCAAGCAGGCTTTCCCTTAATGACTGGCTGTAGAACTGCACTGTGCTTTGTATGGTTAATGAACACATCGGTAAGAATTCCTTTTGGCCCCACCCACTTTGCTTTGGCTCTGCTTTAACTCTACCTACAGCTAGAATGTGTCCTCCTCCCCCCCAAAAAAGATCTTCCCAAAGGGGATGCCGGGAGATTAAACTGGATGATACTGTATGCGGTAAAGAAGACAAAGGAAATGCCCATAAACAACCTTGGCCACATTTCTGCCCTCCCTCCCCCTCTCCTTTCCATGCATATGGCACACCCTCACCGTGGCACACGCTGGGGTCACGGATATCCTTGGTGGGGTCCTTGTAGTAGAACGGCTTGCAGAGGTGGCAGTGGCGGCCCATGGTGTTGTGCTGGCACTCATCACAGACCCCACCACTGGTGTTGCCCGTGGCCAGGTACACAGCCATGTCGAAGTGGCACCTGTGCGAGTGCTCGTTGCAGTTACACTCTGTAGGGAGAACGGAGAGAGAAAGAAAGGACTAGCCTTGCCCACGGGCCTGTGCTCTTAAACCCTCTCTCATCTAAATCAGTGGTTCCCAACCTTGTGTCCCCAGATTTCCTTGGACTAAAACTCTCAGAAGCCTTCACCACTAGTGGTACTGGTCAAGATTTCTGGGACTTGTAGTCCAAGAACATCTGGGGACACAAAGTTGGGAATCACTGATCTCAAACCAGAGCTTGGAAAACATTACTTTTTTTTTTTAAGACAAGAGACCCCATCCCCTTCCCCAGTTCCCCCTTCCAGCACCTCCCTCTACTGCAGGGATGAACAACTTCCAGAGAGCTCCAGGGGCTGCATGTGGCCATTGCTGGACCTTAGAAATGGCCCATTCCTGTGCAAGCACCCCCACAAATATTTTTCCTTTAATTTTTTTTGAAAAAAACAAAATCCCCCCTTGCACCTTCTAGTGGTCAAACATTTAAATAAAATGAATTGACGTTTGGTGGGTCTAGAAATAATGCTGGGGCTCGAAACATGGCAACATTCCTCTCCCCCATGCCCCTTAATGAGCACAAGGGGACTTTCTGAGCAACCCACCTTTTTAAAAAAATGAATCAGGGGTTGGGGGAATATTGATGCTGAAGGTATTCTGGGAGATTGCATGATACTCCTGGCTGAATTTTGCCCAGCCCTGCTTCTCTGGGACTGGAGAGAACTCCAGCCCCTGTATATGTGTTGAGATAACACTTTCTGTTTCTGACCACGGCTGCCTCAGTCCAGCTACCACATTTTGTTCCTCCCAGGTTCACCTTGAGACACTTACTCTTGCAGGCATTGGTGCGGCGTCCCTCCGCTGGGCGCCAGGGCAGTTCATGGTAGAAGTTGTCACACTGCTCACAGTTTAGCCCCTTGGTGTTGTGTTTGCAGACACAGCGGCCATGTACCTGTTGGTGAATGAACAAGGGGAACAATATAGGGCCACTATCCTTATGGGAACGGGACGTGGTGGCGCTGCGGGCTAAACCGCAGAAGCCTGTGCTGCTGGGTCAGAAGACCAAGCAGTCGTAAGATCGAATCCACGCAACGGAGTGAGCTTCCGTCGCTTGTCCCAGCTCCCGCCAACCTAGCGGTTCGAAAGCATGCAAATGCAAGTAGATAAATAGGAACCACTTCGGTGGGAAGGTAACAGCGTTCCGTGTCTAAGTCACACTGGCCATGTGACCACGGAAGATTGTCTTCGGACAGGACGCTGGCTCTATGGCTTAGAAACAGGGATGAGCACCGCCCCCAAGAGTCGAACACAACTGGACAAAAATTGTCAAGGGGAACCTTTAGCTTTACCTTTACCTATCCTTATGGGAGGAGCTGGCACCCCTAATCCAACAGGCTAAGGACTGGGTATGTGTCTATGTAGCTTTGTAGCTAGGAAGAGACCTTACCATGCCCTCAACATCAGGAGGGCTGCCAGACAGGGGGGCACACTCTGAGGCATGCCCATAGCAGAAGCAGTTGCCCCGCAGCACCATCTCATATACAGCATAGTAATACTTCTCCTTGATCTCCCGCCGTGAGTCTAGAAGATTGTCTCCTAGTGTGTGAAGTTTGGTCAGGTTCACTCTCAAGTTGGTGACTTTTAGGAGATCTGGTAAGCAGAAATTCAGGCAGGGGAGAAAGTAAGGCCAAAGATATGAAAAACCAGGAGACAAACTTTTTAGATTGGCTTTGAGTTTGAAGGGGCTACCTGGGCTATAAAGCCTGACTTAACAGTCTCTGCAAGATTTTGACTTGAATCAGTCAGAAGAATACAGACTCCAGGGGAAAAGGTAGGGAAGGACAACAGCTTCCCAGACACAGGTTCAGGACCAACAGCTAAATCGAGCTGCTGCCAAAACGGAAACATGTCTAGGACCAAAATGATCTGGCCCTGAATAGAACCAAAGACAGGGACAGCTGCAAGCCGTACTGGGATGTCAAGAAAGCTCTCAAGCTTATGGAGAGAGACAGAGTGTCTCCTATGGAATTCTGTGGGGTTTATTTTCCAGAATGTGCTTTTTCAAGAAAGGCACTCTATGTGTTTGTGCAAGGAGTGTATTAGATCTAGTGAGAAACAAGGACATTGTTCAAAAGAATTACACAATTGGAAGATACCTGAAATGTCATCCAGTCCCTTTACCTCCAGAAAATCCATTCCTGCATCAACCTCAAGATATGGTCACACAGTCCTTACTTAAAAACCTCAAACAAAGGAAACTCCCACCTATAAGAAACTCAGGGTGTGACTACATGGCCCAATTATCCTGGCCTGCATCAGTCTAGATCAGTGGTTCTTAACCTTTGTTACTCGGATGCTTTTGAACTGCAACTCCCAGAAACCCCAGTCAGGACAGCTGGTGGTGAAGGCTTCTGGGAGTTGCAGTCCAAAACTCCTGAGCAACCCAAGGTTAAGAACCAGTGGTCTAGATCATGCTAAACAATTTTGAGATGCAGCACATCATTGGGGGCAATTCTTGAACCCACATCACCGTACCTAAAGCAATTCTGTTTAACATAACCTAGACCAGCTATTCTCAATGGAGGTCATATGACCCCCCTGAGGGGCCCTGGCACATTTGAAGGGGGCCACAGTCTGGATACAATTATTCACATACCACTTTATAAGGTTATAAAAAACCAAACCAAAATAACCCCCCTACTGTTTCTTCCTGAATACTTTGCTTAAGCCACTTTAGTAAAAGGCAAAAGTTTTATGCAATCTGAAGAGAAACCAGAGTATTTGTCTAAGCCACTTAACAATCTTAATAAAAGGAAAGTGACACAAAGCTTTCAATATATTTCTAATTATTGCTAACATTACGGTAGCTCATCAGTTAAGCCCTTTCAAAGCATCACTGATGCGTTAGCAACAATTAAGCAGAAATTGAAGACTTCCTTTCTCTTTCCCTCTAGAGGGAGGTGGGAAGGAATCTTTTCATTTCTCAAGATTGTTACGTGGCTTAAATAAAGGAATAGCTTCTGCCACCTGCTTTAGTTTGACCCAGAGATCACATATGCTTAACCAAACCAAAATGGACTGATCCTACCAGCACAAAAAAAAAAAATAATAATAATTAAAAAGAGCACCTAACAAAAAGGTGTGGGTAGGCAATAATTAGCAACTAGCTGGTTTGTTCAGTCACCTAGAGAAGGAGCAAACCAGCCAATCTCTAAACCAGACCAAACTTCAGGATTAATATCCATCTAGCATTTTAGTGAGTTTCCAACATGCATGTATCTGTAACTGAAAACAACTCTCATTAACCAGTTGCCACTTCACAAGTTAGAACACTTGACATCTCTTAGGAGCTTGTCTGTGTGTATAAAATGACATACGAATACTATGTTGTTGCTGTCGTCATTAATAATACATTTCTATCATGTATTTCTGGCAAGTTACATAATTTCAGCTTACAACATGATTAAAAGCTTACGTGATTAAAAATACAAAACACACTATCTACAACACAACAGCGCACATTTTAAAAAAACTGCACAAGAGTCCTGAAAAAGCCTACCTTCGGAAAATCATTGTTACTGTCTGTCTAAAAACAGGAGGCCCAGGCACACTTCACATAAGATGTTTTTCCAAATCCTGGAGACACTACAGATAAAAAGGCCCTTCCTGGAGAATCTACCTCATGTACCAGACTGCAAAGATGAATGGGGATTTCAAGCATATTCCTATGGGCCATGAGTTTCCAAAATGCACATGTGTGCACTCATGTTCAAAAATGCCTAAGCATATGGTCATTTTCCTGAGAGGAGATCATAAGGCAACACGGTGTGTGTGTGTGTGCATGCATGTGTGCATGTGTATGTGCAGAATGTTGCATGTGTATGCAACAGAAGCAGCACACCTTCTTGCTAATTTGGGGGGGATTCAGTTTCTGTCTTAAGGCCACATGCCATCCTCATAGAAATATCTGATGCAGCAGGTGCATTTCAAGCTCTCTTCCAGATCTCTTCCACCGGAAGCCATCATCTCCTAAAAGAAGTAACTATACATTATATGCCTAGCTTTTCTTTGTCCCAATTGACTCCTCACTTCTCTTCTCATCCTACAAAGAGACTCACTCTGGATTCTTGGACTGTAAGGGTCACGGATGCGGATAGCTGGATCAAGCACTCTGTAGATGACCTGGAGCAAGGAAGAGAGATCTGTCACAAAACAGAAAAGGCCAAGCAGTACCAGCCAAAGATAATTAAAGCCAGCTCAGGGCACCTACACTGAGTAGAAGCCCTTCTGCTAGGCATCTACTTCGAGTAGAATGCTGAACCTGGAGCCTGTATCCATCTCTCCTCTATTGCAAACCATCTCTACTCACCTCCCCCTCAGTAGAGGGCTCAATGTCTGAGTAACGTGATTCGCAGATGACATCATCTACCCGTCTCAGGGGTCCCAAGGAGGCAGAAGGGAAGGACGCAGCACAGTCGTAGGCAAAGTAGCGGTACACCTGCCAGGTGCGGCCAAAATCTGCTGAACGTTCCACCAACATGGCTGCTGGTCGGAAGGTCTGCCGGGTTAGAAGGGATCCAAAGAGCTTTTCAGGGCGGGGTGATGTGCAACAGCCCATTCTAACATTCAAAATCTCACTTAGCATGGTGACGGTCAAGGAATAAATAGGCACGCATGAGCCAGACTCTCGTCTTGAACACTGTGACATGCTGGATAGCTCAGTGGTTTAGGTCTCTGGTTACAGAGCCAGAGGCTGAGAGTTTGATTCAGATCTATGCTTCCTTGACAGAGTCTGGATTCAATAATCCATAGGGTCCCTTCCAGCTGTGCAGTTCTAAGATGATGATGATTGGAAGCATCACAGGTGAAGGCTTATTTTGTGATGTATGAAACTCAGTTCCTTTCATCTGACTGATATCCTTTTTCCTCCTTCTCTGTTTTTTTTCCTCTTCACCCGTCTTTTACTTCAGGTCACAAGCTTACAAACAGGTTATATCTTGCCTTAGGTTCTCAGCATCTTTTAAATACAACATCGTGATTACTGCTTTTGAAACTGCTCAGAATGTGCAATATCAGACAGTAATATTGGTAGGATATTATTGATAATTATATAGTTTGTGGAAGATAATGACTTAATACCTAGCTATAATTTTGAATCTTCCTCTAAACAGCTGGCTGGATAGCTCAGTGAGTTATGTATCTGGCTATGGAGCCAGAAGTTGGGAGTTCAGTTCCCCACTGTACATCCCAGTAGAAGAGCCAGCCTGTGTGGCCTTGGGCAAGCTGCACAGTCCCAGGACGTCTCCAGAAGTGAATGGTAAACCACTACTAAGTACTCTCTACATGGAAAACTCCAAGTTGATATAAATCAGAATTGACTTGATGGCACATGATGAGGATGATTAAGTCATGAACACACAGAATATTATATGTGTAGTATGGAACTGCAGCTGCACGCTAGGCTGAGATTTAAAAGTTTGCTATCCAACAAATCAGTTACCCAATTAAACATTTATAAATATTGCCTGGAAATGTCAGTTGAATAATTCCCTTGTTTAATTTAAACAGCACTCATTACCGGGCGGGGGGGGGGGGAAGAATATTCCACAACAGCCATATTATCTTCCAGATTTTTTTCCATTTGGGGCTATGGAAAATAAATAAGCCCAAAAAGAAAAACTGAGTCTTGTTAACTCCTTGTTAAATACAGTGTTTTCTTCTGGATTTTCTCTTCTGCAATGTCTGTAAAACAGGAATGTCCACAATACTGTAGCAAAGCCACAAAGTTTAAGATTATTTCAAAGGTGGTGGAGTAGTCTTCCCCTCCCTAAAATTAACATAAACTTGTGTTGTTGAAGAAGACAAACATTCCCTGAATGTTTTTGCACATTACAACAGAATTCGGAAACATTACTATGACTGTGCTGACTGGGTGGATTCTGGGACTGGTCGTCTAAAAAAGTAACTTTTCAAACTGGAACAGGCAACACAATCCAGTAATGGCTCCTTTCCACCCACTGCTGTTGGTCTACCTCTTTGTAAAGGAGACGGCATGCAGAACCAGCACCCAGGAGGGTAGCGGAGACTGTAGTTTCAAGGAGCGCCAACAAATGTTGTGCCCTAAAGACCAAATTAAATCTGATTACAACCACCTGGTTTGGCTTTCAGTAACTGATATTTAAAAAATACTTATTTGTTATGTGAGTAGGTAAGGGCCATCAAGTCACTTCTGAGGTATGGTGACCCTGACAGATTTTCAAGGTCAGTGAAAGGTCCAAGAAGTGATTTATCATTGCCACCCCCAGGATGTTTTCATGGCCGAGAAGAGATTTGAGTCCTTGTCAACACTCTGTCCGCTATACCACACTCTCACATTATTTATGTTGGTTAGTTGGTACATTTTATACTGAGAAGGGCCACCTGAAATGGAGGACAGAGTTTTTGTACCTTTACCCTGATGGAATATTAAAGCATATGCTATATTGAGTGTCACATGCTGAAATTTCTTTTCCTATACATTTATTAAAGGCAGAGAAGATCCACTGTTTGTTTCATGTGGCCACTCTATTTATATCCTGCTTTTCTTTGAATGATCTCAAGGCAGAATAAGCTCATAATGGTAAATATGCCTCTCTTCTTCTGCACCTTAACTTCACAACAGACTTGTGAGGTAGGTCAGGCTGAAGGACTAAATGTCCCAAGGTCACCCGGCAAAGATCAGAGATCAATGAGGACTACAAACTGGATCTCCCAGGACTCAAGCCCCTACATCACACTGGCTGTCATAATAGCTGGAATGGGAACAAGAGAAGACAGCAGGAGACCAAATTATGAGAGTGTCAACCCTTTACCCCCTTAATGGTCTTAATTAGAACAGGGGCACTAGAACAGAACGTCACTCACATGTTCCAAAAGAGAAGAAAACCTAAGAGTGTCTCCACAATAGTAGAAGTCCACCAATCCTAAACAGGACCTACCTTGAAAGTCATGATGAGGTGAGTGAAGTGGAACTCAGCTTCCAGGTCCAAACGGATGCTGACCTGCTCCACGCCTGGAAGGATAGGCAGAGAGAGATGGGTGTTAGGGTGGCCTCAAGAAAACAACTTTCCTTAGGGCGGTAGTATTGAGTCTTGAGTTGAGTGCAGTAACACACAGTTGGGCTCGTTTGACACACAAAGCGCCCTGAATCTTCTGAAGGTCTGCTACCATGAGATGCGATGAAAGATGCTGAGCCCTCAAGTATGTATCTTGAAGTCAGTTTAATTTGCTTCTGTACATGGAATGGAGGGGCCGCCACGTGTCTCAGCAGCAGGCCGATCTCCAACTTCCGCCATTCTCAAGCAGGCCCTCCCCTCTTCCCTTTGCTGGCCCTGAAAACCTCAGTAACCGAGGAAGCTGCCATTTTGATTATCTATATATTTATATGATTTCTCCCCTAGTGGGGACCCAAGGTGGGTGTAATTAAAAATCTAAAATGAAACATTTATTAAAACAAGCCAATTAAAATTTAAAACTGAAATATGAGGATATTTAGAAACATCATTGGAAAAACTATGACTCAGAGGTTAAAAGACTTTCCTATCTTAGCTGCTGGTTGACTGTCGAAAACGCCATAGAGTGATACTGGCCACGGGTGTTGAAAGGCATTATAACAACAGCTCTCAAGTGCTTGGCGCTCACTGGACCATTTTTGCTTGTTTCTATCACTGCCAGATGAGCCCACATAGGAGAGAACATGTTTTCTCTAGCTAACATGTTTTTTCTGAGTACAATACTCAGAATACAAGACTTGGTTTGGTTAAATATTTTGGCAACTATAAGCAAGCAGTCCTTTGATTTTTTTTCAATATTGCTGTGCTTAAATGTTAAGTAGCAAACTTGGTAGAAAAAGTGCAAGGACAATCCAAGGCAGAGTGAAAAATGTTATATCCCAAATTAAAGTACAGAATGATCATGTCAAGTCATTTTAGAACCTGAGGCAGAAAATCCCTCTAGCCCTCCTCATTCCTAACTATTAGTTAATAAAACAGTTAGTAACACTCTGCTGCCTTTTGGCAACACCAAAAATCTTCCATCAGAGACTGCTGCGGGCACACTGCCTAACGACAGGGCTGGTCCTGCTTCAGTGTATATTTATGGAAGAAACAGAGATCTTGGGAGACGGGATTGTGTAAATGTAAATTTAGATTCAGATTAATAGCAACTCCAGATGAACTGACATTGCACTGTTAAAAAAAAACCACACACACATATGGCATTCATTTTTACAGGGGCGGGGAAGTAACTGTGAGGGCACCATGCTAGTGTTATACTGAGAAGACACGGCCTTGTTCACAGAGACCAACTGCCAGCATGTCTCTGAGAATACCAGGTCCATCTCTCCTGTCTGTCGTCCCCCCCCCCCGCTGCCCTTGTAAAGGGCCAGGAAAAAAGGGAGTCATGGGGGTATGATTCAGCCATTTCCTCTGCGTGGGAGAAAAAGAAAAGCAACTAGACTCCGGGGACATCCTCTGTACTGCTGCTGCCTCAGACGTGCCATGTCCCAAACAAAGATCACTCTCCACAAAGGCTGCCTGCCCACATACTCAGGGCACGGCGGGTTCACCCAGTTGTGGGCAGAGACATGAATGCTGTGTTTCTTCAGGTCGTGCCTGCATTGTTTTTCCCCCCCTTTCATTCAAAATAGGGGTGCTAGACTCTTGTTTTGCTTTGCCACAAGAAAATAGGAGGCGCTAAAAAGTAGTATTTTTAATGTACACAGTTTGTACACCCTGCTGAACAAAATGCATTCATCCATCTTTGCCGATGGTTGGCATTTCATTCTCATGTATGTAAAAAAAACAGAACAAATCATTTCAGAGGCAAGGCACACTTTATTTTGCAGCAAGTCTCAGGAGCTGCAAAACTGACGGTTTTTGACAAGTTTGAACCCTACAAAATTTATTATGAGAAGCAACACGGACCTGCAAAGCAAGGAATTATAGGCACACAGGTGTGGGTTGTTTCAGACACAAATAGTTATAGGTATGGTTTCCCTCCATACACCAAATAACTGTTGAGGTGGTGCTAGCCCAGCCATTAGCCATTGGAGGAGAAAAATAGGGGGAAACTCCCACCCCCAAAAAAGGAAAGATTTGGAAATTTTACATCTCTAGAGAGAGTCACAGCAGGAAGTAAAGTGCTATGGCAGAGGAACTGTGGCCACCCCACTCCCTGCAGCTTGGTTGACTCCAAATCTGCTTTCAGTCTCTTTCCTCAAATTGTCACCTGCTTATAAACATGGATGCTTCTCAGCCGGCCGTTTGCATGATAGTTGGCTCTCTGGGAGTCCTCAGGGCCAAAAGAGAGAGGGGTGGCCAAAAAATTGCCTGCTGGGCATTATCCAGATAGCCACATTATGTGGGCGGGCATATGGTGATTTGAGGAAAAAACTTTTGCTGAGCAGAAGTTAGAGGAGCCAATCCTTCAACTCAGGGTTGGCGCAATCTCTCTTGCCCCTCGAGGCAGAAAAAGAAACGCCGCCCCCATGGCTATCACCCTTCTCTTCTCCTTCCCCCAACAACCCCCCTGACCCACCATGAGTGGTACAATAGGGCAGCAGGACTATTTGCAGCAGGCAAGAGGCCATTACAAAATGCAGAATCTTGATGACTGAATGCAACTCTTCTGGGGGAAAAAAGCTGGCTGTGAAGGAGGCCTGTTTCTAGCATGAGACAGACTCCTTTCATGCAAAGAAACCAGCTTTTAGCCTTTATGGATCAAATCCAAGTTTTTAAAGGTGTTGAAAAGAGTCACACATTCAAAACTGAGCATTGCGGCAGTGTAAGCACCTTGTGTGCATTGACCAAAAAAAGAGAGAGTGCTTTTAATAATAATAATTTATTGTCATTGTAAGTATGTACACAGTATATCATACAACGAAATTCACAGACACCCATTAATGTGGCAATTCTCCTCCTATGATTATAATGGAACACAAGACACCTTTTTCATCTCCCTAGCAAAGAGTTCTGTGCAGAGGTGAGGGCATCCACATTCTTGTACCTAGTAAACAAAGCCATACAACCGAACCACACAGCTGGGGAAAAGACTGAAAAGCCGCATCTGTTATTCCAACTTCCTGCCCCAAAGGCAGGCCTTGGTACTCACAGGATTTGACTCAGTCCTAAACGGATAACCATTCAAGCAAACAAGCTTGCAAATACCTCCTGGTTGACTCAGGCCCTCGGGAGTCCACAGTAGAGTTACAATTTTTTTTTTACACTTTTTGTCCTTGGACCTGCATAGAAACAGTTTGCTACTAGTGGGTGTGGATCTCCTGGTGGCTGCAGTAGCTCAACAAGAATATCTGACTCACTGTTATCAAAGAATAAGGCTTCCTCCACTCTCAGTTAGGATCCCAAGTGAAACAGACAGAACAACTGAACTAAACAAAAATGCCTGATTTTTGTGTGGAAGGACTGTGAACTCGGTTACGGCACTGGGAAGAAATCCTTGACGGAGTACATGCTCAGGGATAACCTGTTTCTTAATCATAAATATATGTACAGTATGTCTTAATTCTTCAGGTTCCTCTTTTCTCCCTGGCACCAGACTTCAGGATAGATAGAGCAAGCCTGAAGAAGTCTACCCATCCATGCTTTCTCCTATCCCATAAAGTTCCTAGCTCCTCTTGCTTTCCACCATCTCTTGTGTGTTGTCTCTCTTTCTCTTCTACAGATGATGGCAGCTAAAACAGGGAGGGATGACTTTTCTGAGTGATGGACCTGTACTGGTCTGCCTCTGAACTCACTGGGGACTGTGCCTCCCACACTGTAATGTTGCCAAATTTAGGGTGGCCAAATCAAATGGAAGACGCTGCTCGGGTATCAACTATCTTCATTAGTTGTGTAGAAGAGAATGTTTCAGTAGGCTTAGCTTATTATGAAAGTTATAACTCAAATTCTTCTTCCATACAACTATTAAAGGTACAGGAGCCTGTCCTCCATTTCATGTGACCACCCTAAACAAAACTCAGTTAGCACAAAAGCAGGGGAGAAAAATACAGTTTGGCATTAATAAATACACACCATGTTTTCAGTACAATCAAGGATTCCAAAAGCATACCAGGAAGCCTTCTGAAAGAACTTGCAAACATTGGAAATCAGTATCTTTTTAAAAAAATAAACCCCAGCTTTGAGTTGGGGACAATGTAACAAAACCAAATTTCAATAGTATAATTCACTATTTGTTTTTAAAATAAGATGTGGGGAGAGTGTAAGCCATGTCTACAGAGTGATTGTCATCTTGAAAACAAGGTGCATGCTCCTGTCTGCCTTGATTTAAGTGGAATTTGTGGATTTCCCCCCTGCCATAACTGCTGCGCCAGACTTGTTACATCAAGCAACCTACAGGTTTTGTGTTGCCCACCTGTGAGTTAAAACAACCAAATTCTGCTTTAGTCTATATTATCAGTTCATGATTGTGTCAAGGGTAAAAAAAGAGGCAGTGAACAGTATTTTCAATTGCAGTTAAAGAACAGTTTTGAAATAAGCAAGCTTACCTGTGTTCTGTACAGCTCCTCCTAACTCAACTAAAAGTTAAAATGCCGGCTCAGGAGGGATGGGGACCTCCATCACTTACCATTCTCTGACTGCCACCAGGACTTCCTGCGGTGTAGTGCAAAAGCGGTGATCACATTTTCAATGCGATGGCTGTTAGGATGTGACAAGGGATCATACGGCCGACGGGAGTCACATACAAAGCACTTTTTCTCATCCTGTAACAAATGCGGGGGTTACTCATATGCTGGGCTGCATATATATCACACAATTGCACTGCACCTGGCAAAGAATCTGACACTGGGAGTCAGCATCTGGGGGAAAAAAACTTCAGCTTCATCACATGCGCACTCACAACTCTTTAACTCAGTAGTTCCCAACTTTGGGTAACCCAGGTGTTCTTGGACTGCAGTTCCCAGAAGCCTTCACCACTAGCTGTGCTGGCCGGGATTTCTGGGAGTTGCAGTCCAAGGAACCTCTCAGGACCCAAGATTGGGAACCACTGCACTCTGGTGATAGTCATTCACAAGCTTTGTAATACCATTTGTTGTTGTCTGAGACAAAGAACCACATGGTGCCTCCTCATACCCGTTCTACATGTACAGAACCTGATTGCCTTGGTAGGTGAATTGTAGCCTTGTAATGCCAATGGGACAGTGTCCTCCACTGCACCTGCATTCAGACAGCTGAGCTCAGGAGATAGCAAGAGAGCAAGTCCTACCATACACCCAGCCCTCTTTTTCCTTCAGGGTTTCTCTCTGAATTTTAGCCTCCGCCACCCGAGGCAAGTAATTCTGTCTCTCTAGCAATGGAGACAAGATACCCACGTGCACATATAGACATGCAAAATAAAAGCTCACACCTTCGGCGTGTGGTGTCTTCTCACCAATATTCCATTCATTACCCCACAGCCACTCTCTTGCTCTGGAGCAACCGCAGACCCTGCCCAGGCCTGCATCTGGCATGGCCCAGGAGAACAAAGCGAAAGAGAATCCAGCTCTGCAGCTGGAATGGCGCTGGCATTTGGCATGCCCAGGAGAATTTCAAGCCCTACGAAAAGCTGCCCTCCAAATGCTATCTCCTCCCCTTACTTCCAGACATCTCTATACCCGGGAGCCCCATCCACTCTGTTCCACCTCAGTATAGATTGGGGCCAGTCACCGTACTTTGTAATCCAAGCAGAAAAGTGTGACCTGAAAGGGTCTAGCTTTCTCATAGTGGATCTATGTTGTGCCTTGGCACACATACACCTGCTGCCACCAGCCACTGTGTACAACCCTTATTTTGCTATCTGAAACTTACCTGCAAATGGCTGACAATACAATAGGGTTGGGGACGTCGCAGACCACATGTGGAAGTGGCAGAGAGTCGATCGACTCGGCCGACCAGCAGGTCTCCCGTGGCTGGGTAGCAGCTGCCTTGGGAACAGCCATGGGGGGGCTCAGGCTCTTGGCACAAAGCTCCCCCTAGCACTGTCGAAAACAGAGACAGGGAAAGAAATAAAAAGAAGGGTGGAAAAGAAAAAATAAAAAATACAAAAAAAAGAAAAAGAAAACAGAGACAGGGAAAGAAATAAAAAGAAGGGTGGAAAGAACAAGGAACACCATGACTGGGGTTGCCCCAGTCTGAATCTACACCATGGGTGGCATTCAATACAACACTTCAGTTTGTTCAGGGGCGAAGTTTGAATTCCAGGTCTGGAGAAATGTGAGACTCAATACAACACTTCAGTTTGTTCAGGGGCAAAGTTTGAATTCCAGGCCTGGATAAATGTGAGACATGTACAGTGGAACCTCAACTTACGGAATTACTCCATCTTGGAATGGTGGCTGCAGGTTGAAAAGTCTGTAGGTTGAGGCTCCATTGACCTACAATGCATTGAATACCGATTAATCCGTAACTGGCTGTTTTTGTTCCATTTTGTTTTTTTTTCCTGGTCTGTAGGTCGATTTTCCGGCTGCAAGTCGAACCTAAATTTTGCGGCCAAAGAAGTCTGTAACTCAAAAAGTCTGTAAGTGGAGCCGTCTGTAAGTCGAGGGTCCACTGTATTCAGCTTGAACAATTACTGAAGGGGTTTCCTCTGCACTGTACAGTGGTGTCTCGCTTAACGATGTTAATTTGTTCCAGCGAAACGCTGTAGAGCCAAAATGTCGTAAAGAATCGTTAAGTGAGGCACCACTGTAGTTTGTCAACAATAGGTCACAGATGAAGCTAGGGACGGACAGTTCAACACAGAAGAAATAAAAGAGAAGCTAGAACAGGTCCATATTTTCATGTTGCTGGAGCTTTCAAATGTACAAGGTTCTTAATACAGCACCATCTAAAGCCATGTCAGACCAACAATAATTAGGAGAATATGGGAAATGTGTATTATTAACCATCCTAGGTTTTTACAAATCTATAAAAGCAAGGTTCCAGCTCTCATGAGATACTTCTGAAAACAGCGGATAAATGAGAAAGAAAAGGCACAGTTCAATTAAAACAAAGTCATTTCAAAATCCCAATAGCTTCAGCAAAAATGTTTAAATCTAATTGTATAGCATGTTTACATATAAATAAGCCTAAGTAATTTGAGTGAGATTTACACTGAGCACATTGGGACTTTTCCCCAGTTAAATATGGAACATCTTACCACTAAAATCAATACAACTTTAAAAGCATTCAGTATGGCTGGGCAACAACCAAAATTAAAACAAAAGTCTTGAAGCTACCTAGAAAGTTAACAAGTTTTCTTTGGCATAAAATTAAAATCCACTCCACGTACATGTTGAAGTGAGCTGCAGTACATGAAAGCTTGCGAGAAATAAAACTTGTTACAGTGTGACTACATTACCCAAACAATCTGAGAGTTGTGTTGGAGTATTGTTCTATCAATTCATGTCATATGCTCTTTGTGTCACTGTCCCCATCCTCATGGAGCAGCTCAATTGAACTAGGTTGATTCGATGCAGGGGACTACATCACTCTTCAAATGGCCTTAAATAGACCCAGAATTGGCTCTTTGATCCACCCATAGGTTTGTTCTGACCCCACCTGCATTATGTCCTTGTCCATAACTATCTTGTCCAGAGTTATTTTTCTCTTTTTTATTCTAAGTAGCATAGCGCTGGATAAATGTTGCAGAGAGTAAGACTCCAGTGCCTATGTGATGCAGTGCTAAAGCTAAATAATTCTTGTAAAAAAACCCAAAACCTTAAAAAGGTAAATAGTTTGGCCAGCAGGCATAAATGCTGATTTTCTGATGAGATAGCATCCCACACTACCTCAAACACATCAACTAGATGTCAGGTCAGGGAACATCCCTACACACTCAGTACAATGACATGGCTATTAACACAACCAAAGCTAGTTTTTTAAAAATGTGACATAAAGAGATTTAAAATAGACAACTTCCTGATGGGTGTTCAAAATGAAATGATTCTTTGAAGTGCAAGTTTCCCCCATGCTTACAACAATGTCATGTAATTGGGAAATTTTGAATCAAGCCCAGAGTAATTGGAGGAGTGCATTGCAATGTAGTCACACCCTTAGGCTTTAAGTTGCCACTTCTTCTTTTTTTCAGAGTAAACACAATTGCCATTTTAAAAAACCCTGAAGATTCCAGCTATTGACTATTTTTCTAGAAACATCTGCACAAATTAACAAAATGTTGTCATAAAGGAACTGTTATTAAGATTTCGATTCCATGCACCAGCCCCACCCACAATTCCTGAGGAAAGCATTTATATACAAATATACTGTATCTGGTTTATTCCATTTTTGGGGGGCATTAAAGGTTTCCCTTTACGGGCATTTCCATTCAATCTGCTGCTATATATATATATTTCTCTCTGTATATACAGTATATGGCCAATATACAGGCAAGAATTGGAAAACGTACAATATTCTTCTGCATTCCGCAGTCCTTGTTATGGGCACTTGACTTCCTCTTCAGTTACGTGCCTCCTACACAGCTCTTGTGCATCTCATTCAAATACACTTCCTGACCCACCACACCACTGCATGTTTTCTTCATACTCTACCCTGCATGCAAAAAGAGCCAAATTCCACTGAAGGGCGATATTCTGTGGAAAAAAGTTTGCACGTTTGTGCAAAATCTGGAATGCCAGTACCATTGGGTGTAATTTGCTTTGAACTGAGAATCTCTGTTTCTTTGGCACAGAAAAATTACTTTGTTCTTAAGTTCATTTATTTTGGTTTTATTGGCTCCTTAGGTTGACAGGTAATTTTTCAAAATAATCATTTAATCAGGGTTTACGAATCAACACTGATTATTTGGGCTTCCTCGGCATTTCTGCCGCCCAGGTTTTAAGTTCAGGTTCACTTCATTAAACATACAGGCACCTGCATGTTTTGTTCAAGGGGTGGGGCAAATAGAAAGGAGGTTTTCATTAGGAAAAAAAGGTGATTGGAGGAAAAATTCCATGTCTGTACTATTAATAACAATAATCATATGCCACCAAGTACATTCTGACTTATGAAGATGCTTTTCAGGGTTTTCCGCATAGAGAAGACTCAGAAGTGGTTTACTTTTCCTTTTTTCTGAAGGTACCCTGAGACTGTGCAGCTTGTCCAAAGCCACCTAGGCTAGCTCTTCTCCCAGGAGGTACAGTGGGGAATCTAACTCCCAACCTCTGACTCCGCAACCTAACCATTGAGCTGTCCAGTCAGCTCTGCTTCTACTATTAGTACTTTAAAAATATAATTCTACATCTAGGCTTCAGAGGTTGTATCTATTTTTGGCCTGAGCAGAAACATAGTTTTAGGGGTAGGTATGAGATATCTAAGAGTTAAAGAAATGACCATGCTTTAGTTATGAAGGGTGCAGTAACATCTTGACTGTAAAACTTCCTCTGGCTGGTTCCATCCTGGTGGACTCCTAGGAAGCAGCCAAAACTACATTATTCTGTGTGTCCTTTAAAACTGTTTTTAAACTGGTTTTTAGATTAGGTTGATTTTTAAAATATATATATATATTTTTTTTTGCGTGGAAGTTTTCTGAAGTCTAAAATCTATTTTACTGAACATCATTTGGGAACCTTGGGAGGCAGAGAAGTCACTTAACAAAA